ACGTTTCACTATAATCATTCTTCAGTTGACTGGAGAATCGTCAATTAAAAGGAAAATTAACTAGTTCAATTTATTGTAAATATAATCAAGTTTCTAATTTTAATAAGTGGATCAATTATTCTTTTGAAGAACTTGATATACTTATAAAAAATCAAGAAAATCGTCCTAAAAAATATCATTCTGATAATCTTGACAAGCTACTTAAATATTACAAAAAAGAAATCTTTGATTCTAAATATCAACAGCTAGTTAAACTATACTCAGTATTAGGAGGTCTTTTAGAAGCAGTAGAAGAATATGGAATTGAAGATTGGATGGCAAATTGTATTCGATATATAGTAAATAAAACTATAGATAAGAAATGGCCTATTTTTATTGGAATGGCATAATCAATTACAAAAGTTATAGATAAAATAGAACATAATGTTACTACAATGCGTGGAATTTAATATAATAAGACTTTTATTGATTTTCTTGTAGTACTTATTTCAATTAGTACTCTTGCTGTACAATAGATTACGTTAAACCTTGCAGGACCAATAATAAGATTTTTACGGCAAATAAGAAATAAAAGCGATAATGCTTTTGATCTTTTAGGAATTAATATTTCAAAATTTCTTAAATTAATCAATAATTGGTGATGTGCATATAATTATTCAGGACTAATTATATGTGCAAAAAATCAAACTAAAATTGCTAAAATGATTGAAGTAGATCATCGATATACTCGATTTGTTAGATATGTACAAATGCAACTAACTTCTATTCCTCATTCAATGACAATTGATGAACTTCAACAAAATTAAAAATTCTGAAAAAAGCAACTTATATTACAGTTTTTGTGATTTCAGCAGTTTTATCGGAAATACCACCACTTGTAATTACAGTACTTCTATCTGATCAAAAAGAAACTTTACCAAAAATAATTGAAGAAAACAACTTGGTTGTTAAGCATTTAAATTGTGTTGATGCAAAATTAGTTAGATTATATTTTGATGGTGCTCCTCATAATCAGAATTGGCTAGATAAAATGTATTTTACTAATTATAAATTTCAAAATAAGTTAGGATTAATTAAGGTATTTTTAAAATTTTATATAAGTATTTTATTATTGCAGACATATAAGGAATCTAATACTTTTTTTAATATCTATGCAAGGAAATGGAATTAATTCTATTAAAAAAACTTCCTCTTGATCTACATTTATTTGAAAATAAACTACTATTTTTAAGTGGAACAGATTTTTATTATTATATAAAAAAGGTTAGTATTTTAATACAATGCATCTTTGAATTTTAGCTTAGTTTAGGTTAGATAATAATAAAGATATTTTTTTTTGTTATAAAACTTTTGAAATTAGTAGCCTGTTAAAAATCTTTACAATTAACCAAATGTGAAATTCTTCTATTTAGAACATAATCTGCATAATTCTGGTACTCATATTGTACCAATTGGCAATTATATAATGTCAACTGAATATCTTTAGCAATTATATATTATTTACAGAGAGAAGTCTGGTTTAATTACTGATGTATTAAATCCCAAGAACAAACAATCAGACGAACTTGCTGAACGATTTTATTCATCACATATCTTAAGAGGTATATTAGCTTCGCTGATTATATAAAATATTTAACTTTTATTTTTTTAATATTAATTTGATAATTTTAAAATAGTGATTTCTGAACATACTGAAAAATATAATAATGATACTTTTTATAGAGATGCGTTATATCTTTTTTTTTCAGACATGCTTTTAGAAGCATAGAAATCTAAAACAATGACACATATTGATCAAATAGCCTATACTTGGTTCAGAACTATATTTTTTGCAGCTACATAAAAATATATTAAAAATAATCTAGCTCAATGTAATTTCAAAAAATATAGAATTTCCTGGCAAACTAAAGATGATTTTCTTTATCTTAGATGTACATTAATTTTATTAATTAGTTATTTTCTACAAGCATATATTGACGTTCCTTTGTATTTTTGGTTAATTTCTACAGCATTTTTGGAACATATTTTGGATATGCACACAGACTATTTGAAGATTTTACATTATTGGATTTTTTAATAATGAATGAAAAAATTATTAAAAATATCAATATTGAAATGAAAGATAAAAAAACTATTTAAGAAATTTTAAGAAAAAATTACTAACGCTTGTTATTTTAGGATCTATTAAACATCTCAACAGTAATGATAGTTATAATATACGTCTTGGATCAATTAAAGAATCATTAGATCCTGAACTATCGTTGTTTCTAACAGAATTTAAAATTGATAATATGTTAGAAAAAGTAACTAAAAACTATAAGTTAAAAAAATAGAATAAATTAAATTTATTTAGAATTTACCGAAGATGAAATTTGCCACAATGTTTTAAACTTAAAATTAGACTTTAAGTTAGAGTTTAAGTTTTAAATTAAAGCAAAGACTAGAGTTTTGAATATTTTTACTTAGTATGCCAAATACTGATCAACATATCTAGTTAATTTCATCTCCAGTGAACATTACAATTTGCAGAATAAATTATTCTAATTTGTTAAATATAATAAATCTAATAGCTTTCAACGGCTATGCATGGAGTTTTAAAATCAGTTGGTATAGATTTTTTATTTTATGAATATATACAGATTGTTCGAGAATGCTGTAGAAATTAACCAAAAATACAAAGGAACGTCAATAT